TTCAATAATATAACAGTATGCTAAATAAAAATCCTATTTCATCTATCACAATTGCCAGAAATCAATCTTCTTTGCCTTTTAGATCAGTTATGGTTCTTTTGCTCCAGATGATCAAATTCAGGTGCCTTTTTTCTACCGAATGGTTTCAAATGAAGCTCATCAACATACTGGCATTGTTGAATTACTTCTGTATTTTAGCTGGAAATGGGTTGGATTTCTTGCTGTGGATAATGAAAGCGGAGAGATATTTCTGCAGAAACTCCAGCTTCTTTTTTCCCAAAGAGGAAACTGTTATGCTTTCTCAGAAAGAATCCCCAAAGCCACTTATATAGAGGAATATATCGACATGATGCAAAAGTGGATTCGCATCCATCAAATTATAATCAAAAGCAAAGCCAATGCTGTTGTTGTCTATGGAGAAATATTCTCCATGTTTTCTTTACAAACATTAATTGGATTAGGTGAACTACAAAATAAGACTCATTATTCCACGGGCAAGGTGTGGATTATGACTGCTCAGCTGGATTTTGCATCCACGTCCTATCATATGAGGCAGGATATTCATGCTTTCCATGGTTCCATAAGTTTCACAGTTCCTTCGGGTGAGGTTCAAGGGTTCAAATCCTTTCTCCAACAAAGAGATATTTTTCAAACCAATGAAGACAGTTTTCTGGAGCACTTCTGGACACAAACATTTAGATGTTTATTTCCAGATTCCAAGATGGCGAAACATAACAGCGAAGCCTGCAGCGGACAAGAGAAACTGGAGAACCTTCCTTCCTTGGCCTTTGAAATGAGCATGACTGGCCACAGCTACAGTGTCTACAATGCTGTCTATGTTGTGGCACATGCTTTACATGCCTTGTACCAGTCCAAGTCCAAACACAGAGCAGTAATGGAAAGGGAGAAACTGAAGTTTCAGGATCTGCATGCTTGGCAGGTGAGTCCTTTTCTTAGAGAGAACCAGAGTTGCAAAATAATGCTCCACAGTGTGATGTGCACTTTTTTCCTTCCACCAAGCAGATTTGCTTACAGATTCATGTCCCTTCACCACAATACAAGTATCACAACTGTTATTGGAGTTTCTGCACTGAACATGCTATCCTCTATTAGTGACTATGGGCTGTGGTGAGAAAACTTGATGATCCACGAATTTGAAAAAAAGTTCCTTCAAACTTTGGATGGAAAAACTAACTAAACTATTTCTTTGTGTCTATGTCTTTTCCAATGCAGCTGCATCCCTTTCTTCAGTGGGTGACATTTAACAACAGTGCCAGAGAAACAGTGTTTTTGGGGAAGCACAAAGAGTTAAATACTGGATTTGATATCACCAACTTAGTCATTTTTCCAAATAATTCCTTTATGAGAGTCAAGATTGGAAGAGTTGATGTGATGGCTTCCCCAGGCAAGAGAGTGACGATTGATGAGAAGAAAGTGGTGTGGCACCATAGCTTTCACCAGGTAGGACACAGATAGATGGAGACTGGACACAAACCTGAGAGATGAATCAAAGTGCCATTTATTACTCTTTTCAAAGAATTGCAGTAAAGCACAGGAGTAGTATGTGGTAAATAAATGAGTGCAAAAATGGATCTCTGAGACAATGTGTAACTTGAGAGTAAGGTCTCATATGCAGCTATCCAGCCCCCCAAATGGGGCAGTTGCTAAATACTTGAATTTTGATCAGGTGACTAGGAGAATGTTGCAATGTTTATAAGCATGTTTACATGTTGTAAGTCTCTTTGTAACTTCAAATGGTCACTGAACAAATGGTGATATTGAGGACTATATGTAATGCTGCTAATTGTTTTCTGACATTCTTCTTCAAGAAAATATCTCAATCTTAAACAATTGAGAAACAATGACTATTGAAGAAAAAGCATTTTTAAAAATGTTATGTTTAACTTCTTTGGTTGTGAAAGAAAACAATTCTTCCAATCTAAATTTCTTCAGATTTCATTAAAGTGTTGATGATCTAATTGTTTGTAAAACCTGATAGTGGAAACAATCGACCCATGGCCATCTATTGTGTGAAATATGAGCATTTATGTTATTTATTATTTATGCCCATATTTTTCTTCAAATGGACAGGTACCACCTGTTTCTGTATGTAACCCAAACTGCCTTCCTGGTTCCAGCAAAAAGAAGAAGGAAGGGGCAAAATTTTGCTGCTATGATTGTTCTCCATGTCCTCTAGGCAAGGTTTCACCTGAGAAGGGTAAGAGACACCAGAGTGGGCTTGTCCACATTGCATTCTTAAGATGTCAGCCTTTCATGCATAGGCCAGTTCTTTCGCCAGAATAACAAGTTGTGTACCTCCCAGAGAATACTTATCCAAGTTGGTGCATTTCCCTTTTTTCTCTGCCATGAAATGAAGTATCAATCACTTTCCCTTTCTATAGTTGTTCTTTGAAGACTGTGGTCTCCAAGGTGAGACCCTTTGTACAAGCTAACCTCCACTATAATAAGACAATTTTTCTATAGCCCACTTGAATTCAGTGCCCAGAATAAGATAATCTCAGCTGATAAACAATCCTTTGATCCATGGGAAGACTAGTAAGCAATAACAATAGCACTTAGACTTATATATACCACTTCACCTTGCTTTACAGCTTCTCTAAGTGGTGTATAGAGTCAGCATATTGCCCCAAACATTATGTCCTTATTTTACCTATCTCGAAGGATGGAAGACTGAGTAAACCTTGAGCCGGGGAGAATTGAACTGCTGACAATCAGCAGAATTAGCCTGCAATACTGCATCATAACCACAGCACTACCACAAGTCATCACGTACAACTGCTAAAATAATAGAGAATGCTCAAGAAATGGTTACTTTCAATCTCAAACAATTTAAACTTACTAAGGGCACCTGTCTGACTGACAACTCTTGTTAAATGCATAGTACCCATTGCATCTTCTGGTGGAAAACAAGGGAGGGAGGGAGGGAGGGAGGAATGAGAAAGGAAGGATGGAAGGAAGGAAGGAAGGAAGGAAGGAAGGAAGGAAGGAAGGAAGGA